GAGCCGGGTGCCATAACCACGGCCGTTCAGGACTGAGCGTGCCCTTCTGCGCGTCCGCGCAGACAGCAGTCATGAGCCTACTCGGCCGTGCGAGGACGCACTGCGTGGCCTAATCTACTTGGGCCGGATCCTGCAACTGGACGAGTACGCGGCTAAGACAACCTTTGCTGGGCCTCTATCTGCGGCGGTATTTTTCGGAAGTGCTCCAAGGCCATATTTGTTGGAGCCAAAGGACTGCTTCGACGACAGCCTCTTCAGAATGCTGCTGGCCACCTCCCCATTTGTTGTTGCACTAAGCTTTCAAGCTTCAATGATTTACTTCATGCTTTTGCTGGCGGGGGAGCGCTACAGCAGGTCGCTGCCCAGCCCAGCCACCACAGGCAGTGGCCACCTGAAATTTCCTTCCATGCGCATCTGAGGTCCAGAAAGTTGGAAAAATGTGAAAACAAGATGAAACAAGGATGAAACACATGTGCGGACGGAGGTGTGAGAAAGGTGGGAGGAAAGGCGATGGCCCGGAAGGAAAGGTGGAAAAGAGGCAAAAAAGGTGCTGGGAACGGCCAGCGGGAGATGTGGCTCAGTGTAAAGGCCTGGGCCAGCAGGGGAATTATAGCCACCACTAATATTATTATTGTGACACTGAGTATGAGTAGTACTAGTATCACTGTTTGTTATTCATACTGTTATCACTATCATCACTACACTTAGTTGTAGGAAGTATGGCCACCCAGACCCGCCCCACGCCCGGCAGTGACATTCAATTTCGCTTTCTGCAATAATTTGAGCTGCGCTTCTTGCTCACCTCATTACTTCGTCTCCACCTTTCTTTTTTCGCTGCAACTTCACCTTCTGCTTGCTTCTTGCTTGCAGTCCACATTGTCTTTACCTTTGGGGCTTCACCTCTTTGCACCTTGTCGAGTCTGTTCTCGTGACCCATAGGCGCAATCAATCAGTCAATCAATCGACCTCACTTTTTAAACTTCTGATTTAACGTTCACTTTCAACATTGGGGTACCACCTTTTCTTTCTCTTACCTGTTTAACTACGTGATGGTTTCCTGGAATTACTACAACTGGAACATCATAAAACGCAGGATGCCAGCAAGGCGCAAAGAGTAAGCTTTGGCACAGCTGGGCCTCGAGCTTCAGCCCAACTCCTCATCAAGCTGCACAAGAGCACTTTCCAAGCCTCGATTCTGGCAATCCCATCGAACTAGGGTAGATTCATCAAAGATCACTCCAAGACCTTGCGGAGCATATACAACATCAAAACCGTTGGCTTCCAAAAGTTCGCGGTTCCTATGTAGCAGCTGCACGAACCCCTCTTTCAAGATGGCGGAAGAACATTTCATCCAACCCCTACCCTTAACATTCCACACCGATTTTGTGAGGCCCGATGCCAGTCGCAGGGCCTTCGAAGCCTGGGCCGCCAGCGCGGCAGAGGCAAGGCCAGAGTTGGGGAAGAGCGGAGGAGGAATACTAGCGGCAAATCAGGATGGTAATTGTCTTCATGCACAAGAGCACCAGCAACAACAATAATCAGAATCATGTAAGAAATGAATTCTCCCAGAGCAAAAGGTTTGCCTAGTTTGAAGTGCAAGGACTTATGCATGTTGAGTTTGAATGGATCTGGGTCTAGGGCTCAGGGCTTCGTGTTTGATTGCATAATCGTAGCACCGCACTCATAGAGGATGCAGAGGAGGAGGAGGAGGAGAAAGAACGGCACGGAAACAGGCACATGTCCCTACTGATGGCGGCCAAAATCACGACTGCGACTGCTGCCGCAAGCGCGACTGCTCCTACTACAAGTCCTGCAGAGACTACTAACCATTACGCTGCTACAGTGGTGTGGCTGTTGCTGCTACTACTGCTACTGCTACTACTATTATTATTACTACTACTAATGCTGCTCCTACTCGTGTGGCTGCTGCGAACTGCTAGTCTTGGTACTAGCCTCAGCACGCGTACTGGCCACCACTAGCAGTAGTTGTAGCATTCGCAGCAGGAACAGTGGTGGTGGTGGTGGTGGT